TTATACGTTAATGCAGATGTAGAAGATAAAGACAGCCATTCACAGCTAATACCAAACAGTGAAGAACTGGCAAAAGGAAATAAGCCAAAGTTAGTGTTAATTGTAGCTTCTGATGACCTTGGGAATATTAAAAATATATTACTACATAGAGACCTTAAAATTTTTCAAGGGAGGGAGGTGCTTCTTATGTGTGTGTTTGAAGACAGATTCTAGCAGTTTCTGAAAGAAGATTTTTTGAGGGGAGATACTTAAAAGAGCAAGGGTATCTGGAAACTAGAGGTAGGAGTGGGGAACTGTTGGATTAAAACTCATTTCTCTCACCACGGAGAATTCAAGTATATCAGGAATGTAATAGTCTAAGAGAAGATGGAACATCCTAGGGTATTATATCAAAGATCTAAAATTCACTTGTTTTCCCCCAGTTCTTATAATTCTCACAAAGATAGATAAATAATGAAGACAAATAATTGTGGGCTAAAATTTTTTTGAAAATTGAGGGGTCAATATTATGTTTTTCTTTAAATATATTTACTTCAAGAGAGGTCAATACTGTCTATGGTCTTGCATCCAGTCACTGGCCACACAGATTGGTGTTACAGAAATTCTCAATGAACTGCACACTATGGAAAGCATATGATTCTGAGTCTTCCTTACTTATTCAATAAATATTTCTCAAGATTAGGTGACTTGCTGGATGCTGACAAAGCATATAAAGATGAATGCAACATGAAGTCTGCCCTTCATTGGGTCTTGGTTTAGTGAGAAATACATGTAAACACAAAGATGAGGGCTCCGTGAGAGGTATAAATACCATTTACCCCTTTGACCAGAACCACGGAGGAAGTGACGTTTGTAGGATTGGGTAGGGAGTCAAGGGGAGGCATTCCAGAAAAGAGAAGAATCCATGAAGAGTGAGGGCCAAGAAAGAACAAGAGGCTGTTTAGGAAACTGTGTTAAAGTAAAATATGATGCGTTGCACTTTGCGAATAGTTGATAAATTCAGCAAATCATTATCAGAAGAAATTAGAAGACTGTATTCTCTGTTTCCATTTTCACAAATCTACTCCCTGGATAAAACTCGGTGGTTGGTAAAAAATAGGTAAAAAGTGGGTGTGATTAGACTCCCAAGATATCCCGGGCTCCTGAGAAATATGGAGTCAAAGTTGAAGGGAACCCATTTCCTCCCTAGGCCTTTTGATTAAGAAAAAGGAAAAAAAAAAGCCAAGGTTGTAAGAAACTGTAGCAATTATGCAAAGTTGTCAGGAGTCCAAGGGAAACACAAGGCCATATAAGTAGATAAAAAGGTGAGACCAGGGGGTGAGACATGGCTGGCCCAGATTAGAACAGTGACCTTGTAGACACTCAAAACAGAGCAGGGGGAAAGGAGGGACCAAAGGAGGAGCCCAGAGGACTTGGGGAGGACTTGATTCTCAGAGCAGCTGGATGGAGGAATTGGGGGCTTCAGGGTACAAATTCAAGGGAGAGGAAAAGAAAATAAATGGACAACAACCCACTGTTTCCTCTTCAGTCTCTGCCTTGGCTGGCCTAGCCAGGCCTTCAGCTGGCATCGGTTGGCAGGCTGCAGCAGGAGAAAGGATGAGCCCCTAACTCTAATGAGTCTGGTGCTAAAATTTTGGAACCCTTGGCCCACCCTTTAGTTATGCGGGGAGTCATTTCCTAGCAAAAGCTGGCACAGAGGGCCTCTCCGACCCTGGCAGGAAAGCTCTTCATCCTTCTCTCTGAAGCCCTGGATGCTGAACCCCACACTAGATTCTGTCGATGAACAACTGGAGCCTTGCCAGAGATTTCTCTCTAATGGAGTGAGGTCCTGGGCAAGCCTTGTGAGGTGTCTCAATGGAAAACTCAGGAGTGGGCTAGATGTCCTTTAGGGTCTTTTGAGCTTTGAGCTCTGAGGTTCTACGAGTTCAGTAGTCTCAAACTAGAACACCAGCTCCTCTGGAGCAGAATGAGAAACATAAAAAAAAAAAAAAAAGAACGAGAAACATGACATCAAAAGACAAATGTGTAAGAGGACACCTCAGCTCCCTTTTCAGGGGACAGTTGATTTTTTCATCCTTATTTATAAGGCTGATATAAATCATGGCCTATGTTTGTGAATAGCTTTGGAAAACTTTTACTGGATCTTATTTTTGTTACACTTACCTATTTTTTTGTATCACTCTTCAGTCCTATAGATGCTTGGAAGTCACAAAGAAATCCAGGCTATTAGAGTTTGCAAATTCTGGGAATTTTGGAAACTCTCCCGAGTCATGCAGCTAGATAGGGGCCAAGTTGGGACTACAGCCCAGCCTTCCGTGTAGTCAGCACAGCCAGCTCAGGCTTCCACCCCCAGCTCCCAGCTCCTGATTCCCTTCATCAAATGTTCATTAGGTGCTAACCATATATTTACACAGCGCTAGACCTTGTGGGAGATGCTTTTCCTCAAGGACTTTCTGATCCAATTGGTAAAGCTGTCCTAAAAATGATCTTGTAGGAGATCTTGTAGGAGAGTCCTACAAGATGATGCAAGGAAAACTCATCTTCCTTGACACTGGACCTCTGCAGAAACCAGTGGGGATGGATTTGGGAAAAAGAGCAGCTACAAGGCCCAAAAGAGTGTTGAGATGGGGAGGGGAGTGGTAGGAAGGGGGAGACAAAGTTCTGTTGGAGGATGGAAATAATAGTCACTGCTGTCCCATTTCAAAACCTGGCTTTGTTCCAATTCAACTTTCAGTTCTCAAGTAGGTATTTTTCTTTCGGGGGGTGGTGGTGGTGGTGGTGGTGAAATAGGCAAGTTTTGATTCCAGGAGGCTAGGGACTGTCCTCCTTAGTTAACCTAACCAACCTCTTGGTTAGATTATGTCAAGGAACTACAGATAAAAATCCTCTGGCCCTCTTCAGAGTTCTCCTTTACTGGTGGTTTTTGTGGTAAAACCTCGCTGGACCCGCTACTGTTGCTTCTTGTTGGTTTTGTGCATTTCAGCGTGTGAGTGGTTAGGGGCGGAAATGATTCAGTGCTAATGACAACAATTTTCTTCCTTTTATTTTATTATTTTTTTTGAGCCTGTGCAGCCTTCTATTTATTTGCTTCTCTCTCTTTGAAATCTCTTTTTTAAAATTAAAAAAAAATTAAATTGGAGTTCAATTTGCCACCATATATCATAACCCCCAGTGCTCATCCCACCAAGTGCTCCCCTCAGTGCCCGTCACCCAGTCACCCCAAACCCTGCCCACCTCCCTTTCCACTACCCCTTGTTTGTTTTCCAGGGTTAGGTGTCTCTCATGTTTTGTCACCCTAACTGATATTTTCACTCATTTTCTCTCCTTTCCCTTTATTCCCTTTCACTAATTTATATATTCCCCAAATGAATGAGACCATAAAATGTCTGTCCTTCTTGACTTACTTCACTCAGCATAATACCCTCCAGTTCCATCCACGTCGAAGCAAATGGTGGGTATTTGTCATTTCTAATGGCTGAGGAATATTCCCAATCTCATCTTCCTTTTATTTTAAATGGCATCATGTTTCCCCCTTCTCTCAATGTCTTGGTTGGTTGAACAAACAGCATGTCCATAAGGGTAAATAAAATATTTTAAAAAGACATATCACCATACACTAACCACCCACTCTCTTCATTTTTTACATTTTTCCTAGTTCTTATGTCCATGTGTATGCATTTTTACCTAGTTACAAGCATACTGTTGATATGGGTGTGTAATCTGGTATATTCCCCTCTAGATTACACGATAAACATTTTTCACGTTTCCACAGACCTCATGATTATTATTTAGTGGCTGCATAATATTCCATAGGACGGATGTTCCATTCTTTGAGCGAGCCGTTTCTCTGCCCTTGGCCATCGAGGTTGTGGCCAGTCTCTCCCTATCATTCAGTTCATGGACTTCGATGCAGTTTTTATAGAGACAGAGAAAGTGTCTTTCAAGTGATTGTCCTTTGAAAGTGGAACAAAGGCGCAGCTCTAGCTACATCGTGTGTCTAGCAGATAAAAAGATGGTGCCCAGGGTGTAAAAGCTGGAGGTGTGTCGAAGCTGGAGCTCCCAGGGTGGAAGGCTGGAGGATAATAATTCTTCTTACTGCAGAACAGAAGGATCACCAATAGTTTGTAACTAACATACGCAGTGATAGTCATTTCCATGATTAATAACCCAAACCTTAGAAATACCACTACACGGTGCCAGGGCTAGCCCCTCGTTTCCTGCCGGAACCGCATAAAAGGGGACACATTGCTAGTACTTTCTGCATTGGACTAGTAATTAGCGTCGCTTAATTTGGCTTCTAAGCATCAATGCAGGATGCCAAGAGGCCTGTGCTGCTCTCTGGGCAGAGGTAAGAAGGTCTCATGTTGGCTTTATGCTAGCAGGTGGGGAGTGGTGGTGGATGGTACAGATAGCAGGTGAGGGATGCCGCGGTAGACACGGCGGGTGGGGGTGGGATATACAGGTGAGGGTGGATACAAGGTGAGGGTGGGATACAAGGTGAGGGATGCGGAGGTAGACACAGAGGGTGGGGGTGGGATATACAGGTGAGGGTGGATACAAGGTGAGGGATGCGGAGGTAGACACAGAGGGGGTCAGGCTCGCTACTCGCGCATCCTCCTGCCACGGGAATTCGAGCTGCTGGGGGAAGAAGCATTTCACACCTCGCAGGAGAGAGATTTGGGGGTCCGGTGGCGGGTGCCCCCAGCCCTGAAGGTGGCAGCAGAAGGCGACGGAGGGGACGGGGTCTGGAGGGCGGAGCAGAAGGGCGGGCCGCCCCCGGGGGCTGTGGGGACCCGACTGGGACCCGGGTCGGCGCGGGGGGCGGGGCCGGCGGGCGGGGGGCGGGGCCGGCGGGGGCCAGGGGCGGGGCTGGAAGGCGGGGGCGGGGCCGGCTGGCGGAGGCGGGGCTGGCGGAGCGGGGCCTGGGTGGAGGGGCGGGGCCTGCGGAGGAGGGGGCGGGGCCGGCAGGCGGGGGCGGGGCCGGGCCCGGGGGGCGGGGCCGAGCGCGGCCGCGGAGCGCGGAGCCGGGAGCCTGGAGCTGTCCCCTGCGCGCGTCCCGCCGGGCCCCGGTGCCGCCGCGCGCTCCGGCCCCGCCATGCTCCTGCTGCTGGGGCTGTGCTTGGGGCTGCCGCTGTGCGCGGGGTCAACGCGAGAGGCGCGGCCCCGGGATGACACTTCGGAGCGGGTAAGTAGAGGCGGGAGGACCCCGAGACGGCCCGGGGCGCGTGGCTGTAGGACAGACGGCCTTGGAGGGCTCCCGGACGCCAGCAGGCAGGGATCACCCCCCTCCTGTCGCATCGTCCCCCCTTGTCCTCTCCGTCCCCCCAGCGGCTGCTCACGAGCCTCCCCATCTGTTGGTCCCTCTGGGCGAGAGTCTGGATGTCACTCGCCTGCAGAAATGTGTCTGGGACTCGAGAGCCCTGCAGAACCAAATCCTGGCTCCTGTTGGGGGTGCTCCGTCTTGGGAGAAAGCCCCAAGTTAAAGCCAACGTTTCTTCTTTAAGATGCATGTAGGGGGTGGCGTATTGCGACTTGTGCCCAGGTGATCAGAGGGAAAAGCACGATCTAGAAGTTGCAAACTCTCCTCCACTTTCTCCATCTGAAAGCCAGGGGAACCCGACTTTCCCATCAGGTTCTTTTTTTTTTTTTTTTTAATTTATTTATGATAGTCACAGAGAGAGAGACAGAGACACAGGCAGAGGGAGAAGCAGGCTCCATGCACCGGGAGCCCGACATGGGATTCGATCCCGGGTCTCCAGGATCGCGCCCTGGGCCAAAGGCAGGCGCCAAACCGCTGCGCCACCCAGGGATCCCTCCCATCAGGTTCTCATCAGTGGGGCAGCAGCTCGGAGGTGGCCTGATGGCCCGGGATCGACCACCAACCAAGAGCTCACTTACCGTAGTTCATGTTCTGTGCATCTGCCGCAGATTTCGTGTTTTGAAAGGTTTAACCTCTCAGGTAGGATAAACCCTGCAGGTATGAAGTCTCAATGCCATGTCTGAGGAACGGAAAAGCTTTTTGAAAAATATAAGCCGAACTGATGCAAATATCAAGGTGAAGACCTTATAGGGAGAAATGGCCATGTCCCAATGAAAGTAGGCAGTGCTTATCTGCATCCCCTGGTGCTGCTTACACACGTTATCATTAAAATTATTTTAAAATCGTTTAGCTTAAAGCGTGTTTCCCGTGATGGGAACAAGAGATAAGTAGTCATACTTCTCCTCCCCTTTTCCAGCATCTCGGTTCGAAGAGAAATCTGGAAGATGGTTACTCTCTTGTTGACTCTGCACATGGATGTGTTTTCTGTACCTTGAAAGAAATGGCCATTCTCTTGGAGGGTCGTCAGGAGGACTAAGCAGTCCACGTTCCAGGGGCCTGAGAGGCTGGGGTCAGGGGAGGGCACAGGCTTTGGATCCAGAAAGAAAGACTTGTCTTGACTTTGCCTTTTGCAGTGGGCGCTCGAGAAGCAGTAGACGTGTTAGTAAGTGGTTGAGGGCACGCGCTTGGTGTCAGGCAGCTGGGTCTGTCAATTGCCAGCTCTGTGATGCTGGGAAAGTTCTCCAGGGCCTCAATTTCCAATTCTGTAAAGTGGGGGAAATAATAGGGTATTAAGGATTGAGTAGTTAATACACCTAAAGTGCTCGGGTCAGGGTCAGCACTTCCAGTTACCTCTTGCTGTCCGGCCTGGGCTGCTGTATAGCCCAGAGGGAAGGAATTTGGGATAAAGAACTTGAAAGTTTTTTTTTTTTTGAGGGGGGGGGGGAGTGGAGAGAGGAAAGTGTGGGAGGAACTGAAACAAGGATTCTGTTTATGAGCTAGGAGGAGGGATTAAAGCTCCAACATCTGCCAGTGCAAGTAGGCTTAACATTCTAAACTTTTCCTGCATAGAGTAACATAGGTTTGGCCCATTTTAGCAATTTCATGCTGCCTTCAAAACACAGCACTATTTATTCATCTTGAAAGTGACTGAGACAAAAATTTCTAAGACATGAAGTTCTATGAAAATCAGCAAATTTTACCTTTTTGTCTCTATTAAAAAAAAAACCTTCAAAACAACCACCTGTGTGTGTGTGTGTGTGTGTGTGTGAGAGAGAGAGAGAGAGAGAGAGAGAGAGAGAGAGATGTAGGATTCTCCAGAACCAGACTTCTCTGGTCCATATCCTGGCTCTGCCCTCCCTGGAGAGTTACTTATTGCCTGTGAGTCTCTGTTTACTCATCTCTAGAATGGGGATGGTGAAATCACTTAATTAAAAGGATTTTGAAGATTGAAACATAGAGCAGTACCTGGCTACCTGTAGCACATAGCTGATGTTTATTCTCTATAATTATGGTCTTCAAAATGATGTGTAAACTCAATTTATAAATGTAAATGAATATGTCAGTTTTATGTAAATTCTAACATATGCGAACCTGCCTGTTAGCTTGCACTGCAGTTGTTATTTGCTGCCTACCTTCAGTTAGCAATATTCCTAATAACACCTGAAATTCAAATTCCTTTCTCCCCTCTGGGTCCTCTGCTCCATTTGTGAACAGTATCGCCCAGAGTGAGGGACTGCTCTCAGCAATGGTTTCCAAACTTCGGTATGAAGAGGACCCTCAGAGGGCTCATTAAATACAGAGCTTCCTGAGCGCCCACTCCCATCAGTTTAGATCTACAAGGATTGGGGCGGGGCCTAGGTGATTCTGATACAGATGATCCACCGACCACATGTAGAATAATATCACTTTAAAAGAATCTTTCAGGAAATGTACATTCCAAAGGAAGACTCGTATAAAAGCAGCCTGTTACAGATTTACCTGTTTCTTAAATTTCAAATTGATATAGTTTTCCTTAAATCAGGATAGGGCTGTATTCCTGTTACCACAAAAGCAGTTTTTAATTTACAAAATAACGCTAGCCACTAATTATTTTTTAAAAGGTTTTATTTATTTAATCGAGAGAGAGAGAGAGAGAGAGACAGAGGCAGAGACACAGGCAGAGGGAGAGGGAGAAGCAGGCTCCATGCAGGGAGCCTGACGTGGGACTCGATCCCTGGTCTCCAGGATCACGCTCTGGGCTACAGGCAGCGCTAAACCGCTGAGCCACCCAGGCTGCCCCGAGCCACTGATTATTATTGAGTGTTCCTAATGTCCCAGAGAATTTGCTAGTGGCTCCATGTAAAAATAAGAAGAAACAATAAAGGAGATGGTGAAGAGCACTCCAACTGGAGCCAGGCTGCCTGGGTTCAGTTGTGCATCCCAGCAACAACCGGCTGTGTGTACTTGGGCAGGTGACTTAACCTCTCTGGGTCTCTCAGTTTTATCATCTGCAAGATAGAATCATTACTCTCATTGGCAGGAGTGGATAGGTTCTTTAGAGGCAAGTAAAGTTTACATAATTGGTAGAGCCTCTTGAAGGAACAGAGTATCAAATTATGGCCACAAAAATTAGGTGCCGAAGTAAACATTTATTTAGGATGATAAATGAATCACAACAAATGCGTGGTTTTACAGGCTGACAACCACCCCAGACATCACCTGTGGTTGAGGGACTGTACCAGCGAGGGATCTTGAAGCTTATGTGTTATTAGCTTCTAAATAATAATAATAATAATAATAATAATAACAACAACAATAAAATAATAAACCCACTTTTGCTTTTACAGTGGCTTTGAGGATTCAGTGGGTTAATTCACACAGAGTACATGCATTCAGTGAGCGTTAAAGTGGTATTAGTTATTTTTGTTGTTTATGGACAGCCTGGCTCTGCCCACCACTACAAGGAAAGCCTCAGTGTGCTGCTCACTTTCCAGGAGAACCACGGAAGTCCACCCAGGGGAAGTGATAGGCCCAAGTGATACATGCGGAGCCTGGATTAGAACCTGAGTCAGGCTTTCAAGGACTCCTCCAGAGACCAAGCCACTTTCCTCTTTATAACATGATAGAATTTGTTTCAATGTGATTTTAATTTTTTTAATTTTTATTTGTGGCTCCTGGCATATGGACAGTGTTCAGGATATGCTTGTGGTACCATGTCGATGGTGGGGAGACATTTCTGATCCCCTGAATTGAGAATTTCTGGAGTTTTAGTTTTTTAAAATCTGTCCCTCAGAACCAAACCCCTGCATTTGGAAACGCAAATCAAGCATCAAGACAGCATTCTTTAGTTTTTTTTTTTTTTTTTGTTCTTAAGTCTTTAAAAAGTGAGGTCAGGGAACCCTGGGTGGCGCAGCGGTTTAGTGCTTGCCTTTGGCCCAGGGCGCGATCCTGGAGACCCGGGATCGAATCCCACGTCGGGCTCCCGGTGCATGGAGCCTGCTTCTCCCTCTGCCTGTGTCTCTGCCTCTCTCTCTCTCTCTCTGTGACTATCATAAATAAATAAATTTTTTTTTTTAAAAAGTGAGGTCAGTAAAAGATTTTGGGAGCTTGGGACCACTCAGTAGTGTCTCCTTTATGCACATGCATGTGATTGTTAAAAGGAGTCATCGAACTGAAGGGGAAGGAGGATACTGTGGGAGAGAGTCCAGAGATGTACTCACTCCCAAACCAGCCATCTCTTGTTTCATTGAGTGGAAGGGGGAGGGCGGAGAGGGGCGTATTGAGAACCAGGTGCATGAGTTTATGTGACTTCATTTTCCTAACCAGCAGTCTTCCCTAAACCTTGGATGCTGCACTGAAAGCAGCCTTGCCTCCCGTGCTGTTGGGGGTCCCGTCAGAGACCCCGGCTAGCTCTCTGTAGCCAAGGAGCAGCTGGCTGGCTCCATTTAGGAAGTTGGGGCCATGGGATGGAGACCCAAGCTTTTTTTCAGCTTGTTTCCAGAATTTCCTCCTTATTTTCCTACAGGCAAAGTCCAATTCCCTTGTTTTTCACAGATGAAAAAAGAAATAGTGACTTGCTTAAGGCCATTTTTTTTTAAGACCTACCTGGAAATTGTTTGATATTGTAGCCCAGAAGTGAAGTTTCTTCTTCAGGGCTGAGGTTACGGGTGCCCTGAATTACCAATGGTTATTAGCTGAACATCCTGCAGCAACATTACTCCGGAGGAATGAAACTTTTGTGCGAGGCATGTCGAGTTACCGAGGTGACAGATGGCGACTCCACTGCCTTTCCAACTGGTGGCCCTTGGTTATGTGTCAGGTGCTCTAACAGATCTGTGAGGCACTGACTCCTGAGTTCGTGAATCTTGGTTTCAGGATCACAAAACCCTCAGGAGATGGGGATAGGAGCCGACTGGTAGGTAGGTTCTCAGTACAGAGCCCTGCAGGAATTCACCACTTCTGTCCCTTGCTGGGGGTGTGGCTGAGGTTGGCCCAAAGGCAGCATCCCCTGGACCTGTTAGGGGACTCAGACATCTCTGTTCAGGCAACCTGGGTCGTCAAAGCATCCATGCCCAGAGAGAGTGTCTGTGTTCTGTGTATTCTGAGCATCTTTCACCCTGGTTAGAATTAGGTCTCACTATTTTCCTCGCTTTCATGCTCTTTCCCATTTATGGACTTTTTTGGAAGGCTCTAAGGGTATTTCTCTTCTCTTCTAGTCGTGATCCAACACTGTGATAAATCTTGGGGGAAAGTACAGTCTCTATTATTCAAATTATGAATATATAAGCAGTGCCTGCTATCTATGTATAGCTGGACTAACTATCATGTAGATGGGGGATTCCAGACTCCAAAGCCCTGACAGTGTTATGGCTGCATTCTTTGTGCAAAGGAAATCATCACCCACCCTCTACCACCTGGTGGTGAGCGCTGCTTGGTTCCTTCCTACGCATTGGGGAGGTGGTGGTAGATCTCTGAAACTATTTCTCAGTGTAGTTGCTGTATAGAACCTGATGCTCCATCAGTTTCTCCTGCCCTTTCATCCCACTCCAGCAAATGCCTACACGACTGGTTGAACCATTCTTCCAAACATAAAACATCTCATGGTCACTCTGGGGCATACTGAACTCTACTTTTTCCCATTTCCTTTGTAACTTGCAAAAACTACCCTATTAAGTTTTCATGTTTCTTTCTTTCGAGTTGTGTCATATGGTCCTTGATGGCAAGGATCATGGCTTAATGTTTCTCATGGCTTGTGTTTCTCAATAAATATTGTAGCCTGGACATCTTCCATTCTGATGCTGGAGAAATAAGCTCAGCTCAGTAGGGGTAAAGAATCTTACTTGAGCCATCTCTTATGTCTATGATTTAGAACCCTCAAGCTCTTGAGATTACTACTCAACGGCAGTCCTTGACAGTGAGCCGAAGTGGGTTACATATCTGTCCTGAAACCCTGTTCCCAGATTCTTATGAGGCATGGGGAAACACTCAAACAATAAAAGGGATCAAGAATTCCTAACTAAAAACAAGGATGACGACCTTGATGTCGTTTCCAGTTCCAGTCTCAGCTGGCACCAGGAGTCTGTCTGTACCGGGAAGCTCTGATTCTAGTTCAGTCTCGTTTGAACTTGGACTGAAACACTGCCATGGCGATCCCCTGAGACATCAGATAGAAATCTCAAAAATGAAAAACCAACTTCTCTTATTCTCCTTAAAGCTTGTTTGTTTTCTTGGAAAACCTATTTTCCAGAGGAGGAAACTTCAAAGAGAATACTTTAGATCAATTACAGATCAGAATACCTGAGAGAGGTTGGGCTTTCCTTCTGACCATCGCTATGCTAAGCAGTCCCCAGCCCATTCCACAATTCGAGGAAGGGAAAGGCCTGACACGAACCTGCAGAACTGGTGAAGACCTTGCCCAGAACGTTTACGATGGCTTTCCTTGGATAATGCCTCAGACTTAACACCTCATTTTAGAAAGACAAACCAGTATCATCCTACTAATTGTTTGGTCCTCATTTGGACTCAGGGTGGTGAGTGTCAACCTAAATCCTGTACTATTTCTCCTATTCCATGTTCTATGGAATAGGAGGCTCTGTAGCGGCTTATAATGATAATTTACAATAGTATATATAGATTTTTTTTTTCCAGGGGGATATTAAGGGAGGATAGGGATGAAGACAGTTACTGTTATGATTGGAGTTTTCCAAATGGAAACATCTTTACTGTTTTGTTTCTGTTATGGAAGTAAAATGTTAACTTGTGAAAAACTGAGATAGTACAGGAAAGTTTAAAGAAAAAGAATTCAGTCACCCAAAGGCAGCAGCCGTTGGCACTTTGGTGCTCATTCTACACATATCAACACTCAAACTTACAAAAATTAGATCATGTTAAATATAATGTTTTGTTACCAGATTTAATCACTTAACATGGGTCATGGATCTATTAATCAGGATGGGCTAGGTTATTCTGTGGTAACAATGTCTTAAAAATCTCAGTGTCTTAAATTCCAAACATTTATTTCTTGCTTGTACAACTTGTCCGTCTTGGGTTGGTGGTGGTCACTTGGGAAGTTGAGCTTGATGAGCAGCTACCATTTCAAACATTGCTAATTACTGTACCAGAAAGAAAAAGAGCAGTTCTGGAGGATTGTACATCTGTAACTAAATCACTTGACCTAGAAGTGAAAAGTGCTACTTACATTCCTAACTTGTTGGCTGGAGCTGGTTGCATGTCCCTGCCTTCCCGCAATGGGTCCAGAAAATGCAATACTTCTGGCAGACAGCTAGAGAAATATTTGGTGAACAGCACTGAAGTCCAGTAAAATGAATGTTTATTGATGCCAATAAACATAGATACACATCATTCTTTTCTTTTTTTCCTTTCCCTTTCTTTTCCTTTTTAAAAGATTTGTTTATTTGAGAGCAAGCGAGTGCAAGCATAAGCAGAGGGACAGAAGGAGAGGGAGAGAGAGAGAATCCCAAGCAGACTCTTGGCTGAGTGGGGAGCCTGGTTCAGGGCTCGATCTCACTACCATGAAATCATGACCTGAGCCGAAACCAAGAGTTGGACACTCAACCGCCCAGGCATCCCATACATCATTATTTTCTATAGCTGTGTTCTAATGAATCCCTGCATCATAATATACTGAATGATATACTGAACTACGCTTCGTTTTTTAAATAATATGCTGAACCACTTTTTTCCCCTTTTTTAAAGAACCACTTTTTAAAATAATATACTGAACCACACTTCTTTTAACTTTAGGCAATTGCTAATTATTAACAGTTGTTTTAAACGTTGCAAAGAGTTTTCTTATTTTTCTTTTATGCTAATTTTCTGTAAGTAGAATTTCTTAAATTAAAAGATATGCATACTGATGGGAATGGAAGAATGTTTCAGCCACTTTGGAAAATAGTTTGAGACTTTCTTAAAAAGTCAACCTTAAATTCACCATATGACCCAGGCATTCCACTCCTGGGTAGCTATGTCCAACATAAAGATTGCATGGGAATGTTTATATATGTTTCATGTTATTCAAAATAGCCAAAAACTGGAAACAACCTGGACATCACCTGTGAATGGATAAAAAAATGTGGGAAATTCATACAGTGTAATATTATTTAGACATGAAAATGAGTGAAGTACTGATAAATGCTATAGCAGGGATGACTTTGAAACGATTATGTTAGGGACCATAAGGGAAAGGAAGGAAACTGGGGAAAAATTAGAGAGGGAGGCAAACCATGAGAGACCCCTAACTCTGGGGAATACACAAAGGGTCGTGGAAGGGGAGAGGGATGGGGAGATGGGGTGACTGGGTGATGGGCTCTGAGGGGGGCACTTGACAGGATGAGCCCTGGGTGGGTGTTACACTATATGTTGGCAAATTGAATTTAAAAAAAAAAAATATATATATATATAGAAAAGCTTATGTTCAGTGAAAATGGCCAGTCACAAAAGACTATATATTTTATGATTCCATTCCTATGAAATGTCCAGAATAGGTAAATCCACAGGGTCAAAGTAGATTATGGTTGGGAGGTGACAAGTAAGAGGTGCAGGGTTTCTGATGTAATAAAAATGTTCTAAATAAACAGTGGTGATGGATGCACAACTCTATGAATATACTAAAAAACACTGAGGTGTGCGCTTTAAGTGAATCATTTATGTTATTTATAAATTACACATCATAGAGCTGTTAGAAAAAAGAGATGTATAAAGTCCAGGCATATTTTTCAAGTTTTTGATCTACATGATCACATCACCCTCCAGAAAGGATGACTTATTACTCACAGCAATAGCAGTTTAACACTTTCTTTAAACAATGATTTGCTGTGAATAATGTTCAACCACCAGCTAGGACTTTTAAATTACTCCAGAAGTGGCTGATTCATTAATACAGTTTTTTTTTTTTAAATGAGGATTTTATCACCGTCCCATGCCCCTCCTCCACATGTGGGAGAGTATAGTTAAAACAGCCAGAAAAAAACGCAGTGAAAAAATTCACAGTGAGTTCAGTTTTGCTTGCAGAGTTTCCTAAAGTTTTGAGTTGAATAATTGAGCCCATCAGAGTAGAATTGAATCCATTTACTCCTGGTGATAGACGCAATAGCAAAGAGCTTCTTTTCAAGCCAGAAATAAAATAAAACGGGAGTACAGATATTCTGGTGAATTCTTTGTTCTTGTCATTTCATGGTCCTCTAAGAGACAGAAGAGCATGCAGGTGATGGGGTGGTGCCCTCGGGGGGGTGGGGTGGAGGCAGTCAACCATACCTGAGAGGGATGGATCCTGGCTCTAGTTTGGCAGCTCCCTAATCAAAGGTCCAATCTACTTTTCAGGATGGGTTTTTTTTCAGGATCAAAATCTGTGACTCTGAATCGATAATTAACACCCTCCCCCCCCCATGAAATTCATTTCAGAATGAGCTCACAATCGTTATTTCATGACTGTCTTCTTCTTACAGGTTGGACTCAGGGTGCCAAGGCAGGTCCGACTGTTGCAAAGGCTGGTATGTATGTCCCTGGTGCCCCTGCAGGGTCTCTTCCACCCTCAATCTTCCGAGTATTTTGAACCAGGCCCTGGCTGTGCTTGCAGCTCCTCCAAAGCTTGTAAAGTTGATTGTAGAAGAATGTTGACATTAAACAATGTAGTTTTTATAAGGCTTTCTAGAAGTGGACTTTTCTTTCTGGAAAGAGGCTTGCTGATTTCAGTAGGGCTCTAAGGACAGAGGATGGAGTTTCAAAGCCTTTAAGAAAAAAAAATTAAAGGGACGCCGGGTGGCTCAGTGGTTGAGCATCTGCCTTCGGCTCAGGGCGTGATCCTGGGGTCCTGGGATCGAGTCCCACATCAGGCTCCCCGCAGGGAGCCTGCTTCTCCCTCTGCCCTCTGCCTGTGTCTCTGCCTCTCTCTCTGTGTCTCTCATGAATAAATAGATAAAATCTTTAAAAAAGAAAAGTAAAAACTCAACTCAACCTCTACTTTCTATGGCATTCTTACACAAGAAGCAGAGGCTTTGTAATGAAATGAACCACCCCAAAGCAAGCAAAAGCTGGACCTTGGTAGATAGAGCTGCAGGTCGTGGAGCTGAGCAAGGCTCTCCTTGCCTCTGGGCAACTTGCAGATTGGAACTTGGGTGCATGTTCTCGAACTCGAAGAGTTTATTCGAACCGACCTCGGTTCTCTGTTACCAGCGTGTAGGCAGGGACATATCAGAATGTGGAGACATGCCTTCAGGCTCTGGGGGTGGGCATCCCTCCAGGGACTCTCGATTCTAGCCGCAGTCGGGCTGTGACGTCGGATTCTTGTTTTTCTCTGCTTGGCTTCCCCCTCTCCCTTCTTCCTTCTGGTCTTCCCACCCTTGTCAATCTCTTCGTCATTCATCACATGTTCACATAATCACAGACAGACATGCATGAACGTGAGCATGTCAAAAATCGCGAAGATCCTGGATTTCCCCCCACAACCCAGCCAAGAAGTGAGTTCGTTGCCTTTGCGTGGATGCCAGCAGAAAACAGGAGGCTCCCAGGTCAGGGACAGAGGGCGATTATTGCTCCCAGAATGGCAGTGCCCAAGCGTCTGTGTTTGCCCGGTTCCTGGGCCCCGATCCGTTCCCATGTGGTCACCCGGAGAGGCCCCGATGACACCGACACCCGACGGGAGCTCTGCACGTAGGGAACCTGACCCTTTTATGAGCACTAAGCCTGCCTGACCTTTGTCCCTGGAGGGCCACATCATCTTTACTGTTCTAGATATTAAACCAACTTCTCCTTTGCTCTGGAGGGAGACGCCGCCTCACTTGGCCAGAGCCATTCTCCAAACATCCTTGAAGAGACAGTTCAGAACAAAGGTAGCTGGTGCCTTGCTTGGAAAACGGGCGGAAACATCAGAAACTCATGGAGAATAGCCTCCCGGCAAGACCGGTGCATGCCCTCATTCGCTCATGCATGCATTCATGCCAACTGGTATTTTTTTTGAATGCTCACTCTCTACGCTGTCCCAGCGTAGGCATCGAAATACAGCAATGAACCAGAGGGACCAAAGACCCTGTCTTCCCTAGAACTTGAATTTGAAAGCGGGGTAGAGAGGGGTTGGGGTCCCACAGCTGGCTTCTGTGTGTGCTCTTAACACACGCCCCGTCTTCTCAAGTACAGGTCTCTTTTTCCATTTCTTACTATTTTTGAGCAACAATATTTCACTTGGCCTAACTGTATCCATTCCTTTAGATGGTGAAAAATATTCCAGGTCATTGGTCGTTGGCACACCGTAATGTATTAGGCATTCTGCAGTGGATGAGCTTTCAGGTTGTCTCCAGTTTTATGGCCCCTGTAAAAAATGCTGCAAAAACTTTTTTAAAAAAATTTATTTATTCTATTACGTGGGTGTTTTTTATTCTGTGGGCTACCTTTTCAATAGGAAGATTGCTGGATCAAAGTGCATGGACATTTTACATTTTTGAGAGATGTCATCAGACGGCTTTTGAATACTATTGCTCTTAATACTTACTATCTGTCTTGGTTTCATGTCTATCAGCAATGACTAACATGCACATTTCTGCCAGCAAACATATAATTACTCCTTTTGGCTTGTCGGTGTCTTAGATATAAGTGCTGTCTCTGTTCCTTTAGCATTTGCCTGTCTACTAATGAATTTATTCCTTTAAAAAATAACATTTATTGGCTGCTTAGAGTGATTCTTCTGTGAATTGTTTGTGCGTGTGTGTGTGCGTGTGTCCTGTTCCCGACTTTCCATTGTGTTTTTTTTTTTTTTTATCCCTCAGTGGCCAGTATGTTAGAGATCTAGAGCTGCTCTGTCTCCTGAATTGGAAGAACTCCTCCCCAAATGTGTTTTGTCGACTAACATTGCTTGTGGTAGGTTTTCCATGTAGAGGTTTTTAAGTTACCCAGTAATAAATAAGTTCATCTTTTCTTCATAGCCTTTGAGTTGTCATTTTTGGTTTCAAAGATTTTTTTGATCCTTAGGCTTAGAATGTTTATTTAATCACTTAGATTTTCTTGGAAATCTCCAAGAACTTTAAAAAGTCTTACTTTTCCATGCATTCTCTCTTTTTAACATGAACTTTATTTGTACATCCAACGGGTACTAGAATGATCTTTCCGGCAGTAGACCTGATGCATCATTCTCTTTGGAAAATGTCTTTGGTGAGTCCATGTTACCTATAGAATATACTCCAAGGACATGTAAGGGTCTGTGTGGTCTGACTGAGGCCTGCCTCTGTGGCCTCAGTTTATCCTATGAGTCTTCTATTTTATGCTCTAGCTGTCTGCACCAATGTGAAGGTCTCTGAATGTTCTCTAATGAATAGAATGTGGATGGCAACAGCTGTTAGTCTCTTATCACTGCCAGCTCATGAACCATAGGGATTTGCTTGATTTTCTTTTGAATTGATTGGATACCCTTTTTATGATGCTCTTTGGCAACACTCATGCAAAGAAAATTTTTATTTTAAAAAGCAAGGGTATCTTGTATCTGAGTATCCCTGGCCCTTAACAGATAGTGGCCTGGTTTTCACTCTCATCACTTAACCTCTTGGTGACAAGACCATGTCTTAGCATTTTCTTCATAGCAGGTATTCTAAAACTTGCACTTGGGGTTTGCTTTAAGCAGACATGGTAAGACATGGAGATCTGGAAGTGATCATCATGAAGGAAGATGATTGTACTCACAGATTCCCTAAAACAGGAGGCACCGTGGGGGTCTCTGGTTGTCTGGGATCCAGCCCTGGGGTGATGGGGAAAAGGGAATATTGGCTTGGTGTGAGCTCAACAAAGGAGGTGGCTGGGAGTGTAGGCTCTGGACTGGTGGGTTGTGTATCAAAGGTGTGCTCATGCAGGAGTAGTTGGCTGTCTCTGGGAATCAGCTTGCCCTGGGGGGACAGTCTCTCCAGGAGCAAGGTCGCAAATGCCAGAGCCTCAAGAACACAGCAGATATAGTCAACCAGCATGGTGCTGGGCATCGTTACCTCACTGAAGGTTAGTTACTGTTAGTGTCTGTCTCCTTTGTTCTGCCTCCAGCCATCCGGTTTATCTTTTGTTAGGAGGTATACAGAGTAAGGTTTTTCCCTCTATGTAAAGGTGATACTTGCGTTTTATGTTTCCTCCCCTATAACGCAATGAAACGTTGCTCAGTAGAATGTCATTATCAGGGCAGCCCAGGTGGCCCAGCCCTTTAGCACTGCCTTCAGCCCGGGGCGTGATCCTGGAGACCTGGGATTGAGTCCCACATTGGGCTCCTTGCATGGAGCTTGCTTCTCCCTCTGCCTCTCTCTCTCTCTCCCTCTCTCTCATGAATAAATAAAAATCTTTTTTTTTTTTTTTTAAAAAGAATGTCATTATCACAAATAGGCAATCCAGAGCTGATGTCACGCTCGGTCTACAGAGGAGCAAAATTGTTTCACTAGGTGGGGATGTCATGTAACAACGACATGGGTTGGGTTGTTTTTTTTCTCAAAAGGGAGAGACGTGAAGGTGCAGTCAACATCCTTGGACCCAGAGTCCACCAACTGCCAGGTAGCCAGTCTTATCCTTTATCATGTGAGGCGATGAGGAGTTACATGATGTCTAAGGTCCTCTACCATCTCCAAAGCTATTTCTTCTAATGGTCACTAGAGAAATGTTAGACCAGAATAAAACAATAAAAGGTTAATCTTCTGGAAGAGACCTGGTTCTGGCCGATGCCATTGCAAACATTGCTCAGTTACATTTCCAGATGGCATCTTGGGTAATTCAGGACATCCTCTGGGTGGCTTGATTTTAAGTGACTCGCATGAGTCACACAGAAGGCTTTGGTCCCCTGAGCAGCTAATTAAGACACTCCCTGCCTCAAACTGTTTTTCCATCTGTTTAGCTTTTGTAGGAGAAATAATGAAGCAGCTGTTTTTTCACAGGAAGACTTGATTTTTGCCTCCTATTTTCCAGTTGACATCCTCCCCTGAAATAATGAGTTAAATATAAATACCGAGAGCATGTTGGATTTTTAAGAACGGTGCATTGGGAAAAAAAAATTGAAGCACCTCTTTTATATCCTTCCTTCTATGACAAATTTTTACAAGCCTCTGCTGCTCCAAGTTCTCTGCGCTTGGCTTTGGGCATCGGGGTTTCCTGACAGTCTTATGTACCTGTCCGGGGTTCTTCTCACACCGTAAGCCCCTTTATAATTAAACTCCTCGATTTTTTGTTCCAGGAATGTGCTAAGGCTCATCCCTGCTTCTGTGCCTTTTGTGTTTTTAGAATGTTCTTTTTGTTCTTCTTCCTTCACCGTATACAAATTCCACATCTATTTTTAAAACCTTTTCTTACTGTTACAGACCTCACTGATTTCTCCTTCTTCTGAGCTCTGGAAGGTCTTCCGGGCAATGAGTGTATATGTGTATCCCTATATATCTGCCTATGTTGCTTTATGGGTTTTTTTTTTAATGCTTTCTTCCAAATGTGATCATAGGTACCTTGAGAGAAGGATCCATGTGTAATAGTTCTTCCATGGAATTTAATC